CATTTTGCTCAGACCAGCTCACGTTGGTCTGTTGCTTCCTAGCCTTTACTTACACTTGAGGCAAGATGCCTGACTGCTTTCCTTCCCTGAAAAGTATTCTTTGCCCTCTTTGCTCTTGATGAGTCTCTTTTGTCACCCTTGTTTGCCTTATTGTTCCTTGGAAATGTCTTTTCCCCCTTCCCCTTGAGCCTTTATAAACCTCTTGCTTTAACTCCCAGTAGCTGGTCTCATTGGCTCAAGATTTGAGGTACCTGCTCAGAAGGCGGAGTTTCCTTCCCCTTCCATGGCTGCAGGCTGATTGGGGATGAGTGGTAGAAGCTATTACTCCTTCCTACCTGTCAACCACCATCCTTTTAGCAAATGACTGAAGAGAAGGGGCTCCAAGCTGTCACTGCTGAGCACAGACTGCAGCCCCACTGTTCTAGTGAAGTTGGAAATGCTCTGCTGGCGGGTGGGAGTGAAACTGAGAAGAAATTAATAAAATTGTGATCCCCTTGTGATTACCCATCACATTTAAAGCCTAAGTTAATATGGTGTTGGCAGGTCCGGTCTGTGTTTTACACACACATTCTGACTTGATGGAACATTACTCTTCTAAGTCACTGCATTGGTTTCCCATGAAATTCATCATCACAACATTAACTTTGAAGATGATGCAACAGTTAAACTCTTTATAATGCCTGACTGACCTGCTGCCTTTCTATATGCATGGTTGCCCTCTGAGATCTCTTGCACTATTGGCTTCCTGACAGCTCCCAGCTTTATATTGAAGTCTTTGAGATGCCATGCTTCCCAGCTGCTATTGCACTCCTTGAATTTGGAATTCATTGTCTGTGGAGGTTTGACATGGTCTGTTTATCTCTGTTTGTCAATCCAAACTCAAATTTCACTGGTTTCTTTTTACATACTCTAAGCTTTGCTTGTTACACTTTAGTCATCTGTTCTTATGAAAAGTGCTATATAAATCCAGTTTCTGTTACTGATTAGTTGAAGCCCATGAAGTGAAACTATTAGTTGACAAAATGTAAACGTACTTTACTCAGCATTACTCCATCATACTATGAGAATCCTCTTAATGCCACACTTATACTCTCAATGGTATTCAAATCTTATGAAATAAATGATGTCTGAGTGTGTTGGTATGGCTTCTGTTGCACAAAGCATGATCCCTTTCCATTAAACTGAATTAGATAGAAATATTTCCAGCTAAATGTTCTTTCAGTGGGTTTGACAACTGCAGTCTCATTTTTCCATTGACCTTAATTCTGAGTTGCAAAAACTTCTGTTTATTTTGTTTTAATAAGTGTAAGTTGTGTTAAATGCTTCAGGAATCAGTTGCAATGTGTACACACTTTGGAAATGGCTAAATAGAGGGGAAGGATGACCTTTGCAAATAGCAGCTTTGGCACTTCATCTAACAGGTGACAAGCCTTCATCCTTTTATGAATGCTGCTTATTCGGTTGTCCTAGAAATATATACATTTGAAATATAGGTACTAATAAGTGTAAGTTGTGTTAAATGCTTCAGGAATCAGTTGCAATGTGTACACACTTTGGAAATGGCTAAATAGAGGGGAAGGATGACCTTTGCAAATAGCAGCTTTGGCACTTCATCTAACAGGTGACAAGCCTTCATCCTTTTATGAATGCTGCTTATTCGGTTGTCCTAGAAATATATACATTTGAAATATAGGTACTGGTATTATGAAAGAGTGCTGGTGAAAGGTATCAATATCAATAATAATGCTGAAGTCTTATATTCCCATTTTTCATAAGAACATAACCTAAGAACATAAGAACGTCCATACTGGGTCAGACCAAAGGTCCATCTAGCCCAGTAGCCTGTCCACCAGAGAGGGTGGACCGAAGACAATGATCAAGCGATTTGTCTTCTGCCATCCTTCTCCAGCATCTGACAGACAGAGGCCAGGGACACCATTTCTATCCCCTGGCTAATAGCCTTTTATGGACCTAACCTCCATGAAATTATCTAGCTTCTCTTTAAACTCTATTATAGTCCTAGCCTTTTGGAACTGATCCACGCTCAACTCTGTCAAAATCAGAAGAAGCTGAGGACACTTAACACCTTTGAATAGTTGCTTAGCATCTGATAGTATAGGATCTCACATAGCATAGAAAAAGTGCTACAAACTTCTCCCACTAATGCATCTGGAGAGAACCCCTCTGTGGGTGAGAGGGTAATTCTGTTTTTGATGTCTGCTTAAGCCTTGACTTCTTTGCTGAGATTCCCCTGTTGGTAGTTGTAGTTTTGTGAAGTGGAAATTTTTCTACTAGGAAACATGCTGAGAATTATTTAATTTTAGACTTTATTATTTAATATAAACAGTATTTCTATTAATATACAATAAAATAAAAATCTTTAAGAATCTATTGTAGGTTGGCAGCTGACAGGCTTTCTCAGTAGAAAAGAACCATTAACTTATTGAATGTGACTGCCAGGTCTTCAAGCCTCATGGAATTAGTTGTTCATTATGTTTTTAGGCAGATTGTAAGGGATAATAAAACAGACTGATGAGTGACAAGTAGCAGGTTGTGCTGGCTAGCCTTTTAACTCTGGGGGGGAATAGTGAATATTGTTTGTGTAGAAAAAGTTATTCTTGCTTTTCTAATGTTGTTTGGACTTGAGGAACATGGTTTCATTTTGGGGAGTGGGAGTTCCAAGCTTGAAAATGGTATTTAAGTACTTTGAGAAGTAGGAGCTGGGGAAAATGGTGGCATGCCTTTGCTTTTTTAAAAAAAAAAACCCACATCTTTTTGAGCACATCTTTTATTTGAGCTTTGGAGAGGCTGAGACTTTTAAAGTCACTAAATATTTAATTGAGTCATTTATTTTGTGAAAATACAATGAATAAGAAATACTAAAAAAATTTCAGCTAAGCTTTAAAGCACTAATTCATAATACAGATTCAAAAATGATTTAGCTCAGAAGGTAAATCTATGTAATCCTGCCATTCAAGGGTTAATCTGTAATCAGACCAAGATTATAAGGATGTCTGTTTAGTTTAATTAGTTAAGAATAACAAGTACACCTTGAACTGAATATCTGTTTCCCAAAGGGTTTTTTCTTTTGAGAACATTTTTCATTTATGATGAAATAAAAAATGAAAATAACTGGTGACTATTTTTAAAGTGCAGGCTGAAGACATGAAACTGTAAAACTCTGCTTTTCACTTTGCTGTTGTATATGCCAAGTTTTGTTCATACACTTAGGTTTCCTCCTACTCACTATCCAGTGAGGAAAAACAAATACATGAATTTAGAGTAATAGGAAAGAAAGAGCACATTTAGTGAGTGTGAGAATTTCCTTTTGAGTGTGTCTACACTGCATACTTATTTCAAAATAAGCTATTCTGGAAGAGATACTCAGAAATAGCTTATTTTGAAATAGCGCGTCTACACTACAGGGAAGCCTCAAAATTAGTCCGAGGCAGGCTTCCCTAATATGGACGTGCTGCCTTGATTAGAATCCCAGGAGACACTGGGGAATAATTCGTTTTAATAGCCCTGGGAAGGAGCTATTTCGAAATAGAAGCAGCGGAGTGTCCACACTACTGCTATTCCAAAATAGCTGCATTGGAATAGGCGTTATTCCTCATGGAAAGAGATTTACAGAATTTATTTCAAAATAACGGAACTACTGTGTAGACACATTGTTATTTTGGAATAACACTGCTGTGTAGATGCACACTTTGGGTACAATATACACTTGAAAATGTGTTTGATGAAACCCGCTCCCCATCCTGCTGCCTTCTGAACTAGCTTGTTGAAAGTGGGACTGTGACATCACAATCAAATCACCTCGTTGCCTTTCCTCCTCTTCCTTTTCCAGCTTACCAGTCAGATGATGACATTAATTGAGTCAGTGAGCTCTAAAATTCTGACTGAGATCATCTGTTAAAATGACAGACACTACAGAATCAGACCTCAATCCATTTTAAATTGTTCAAGGAGTCCAATTGCTTGTGGTGGTATATCTGATACAAAGCTCTCATTTCCCTCCTTTCTGCTATATAATCACAAACATCTAGGTGTATTATTGAGGGGGATTCTTTCTCAGATCAATCTGTTATAAGCTTTCAGAGAGGATTCCACCCAAGCTAAGATAGACCCATAGTATACAGGCTAGGAAAACTGTATTGTCAGGCAGTCTGGAACAACAACAAAACAGGTCTGAACAAGTAACATTGTATTACTTTCCACCTACCAGACTATCTGCTGATAGGGAATCAAATTCTGTGTGCTTTGGGTGTCCAGACTGCCAGACCTGCAGCTGAAAATGAAAACTGGCTTGCTGCCTCAATTCCTTATAAATACCATGGAACAGTAGTTGCATTTGATTTTACACTTTCGTGTGCGTGAGCTAGCTTAAATGGGGCACAATGGCTGAACAGAGCAAAAGGAGGAATTTAGTGAAGTGCCGGGCAAACCTCTGTCTTTCTAACTTTTTCAGGTTAATTAGAAAACTAAGGTAGGGCCTGTGTCAGGCATAGCAGTCAGTTCACCCAGGATTTTTAAGTGCAGTTCAGATAAAATCCAAAGCCTCCCCTAGAGCAAGGAGATGTACAAAATCCATATAATATAGTGTTTTTCAGGCTTTATGCAAGTACATGGGAATGATGATGTTGGAGAAAAAAATTGACATCTAGGTTGTCCTGGACAAATTGTCAGTCATTTTCTTGTCCTTTATTTGCCAGTTCACAGTATGTCTTTTAAAAAAAAATTCTTGGAGGCTGTAAAAGAAGGCAGTGTGATTTCCCCCTCCTCCTGCTAAGGATTTTAAAAGAGAAATACCTTTATTACTTGGTAAATGGAGCAAAAAAGTTGGAAAAATTATTTAAATTACTGAGGATTTCTACTCTTGTGTATCTCTAACAGCATGTGCTGAAGGAAGGCATTGAAGCCCTTCTCTGTTTAAACATAGCAGATGTGACTCAGGAATACTTTATATATGTTTAATACTTAACTAGGTCTAATATGGGTTGTCTATTAGTTGTGGCTATGAAAACAATGTAACCAGTTGTCCCGTGGTAGTGTGGTGTTTGTTTATTATTTAAAAATAACGAGTCGTTGGTCCTGGAATGCTTATTTGGGTTATTAACTGACTGTGTATTTTATATGTTATATCAGCTGTGATGTTATTTTAGGAGATTAGTTAATAGTCTAAGATTTTGCCAAGATGAATGTGAATTAAAATGGAGGAAACCAGCAGAAAACTAGCCATAATTTTCCAAATCATCACCGTCTGGTATATCTTTTGTCTGTTGTGAAGAAATAAATTGATCCATACCTCAGCAATTAGTTGAATGTGTGGTCAGCACTGAGAGAGTTCTGTGTGGTCTCTTTTAGCTATAAGAAACAACCATCTCAGAGGTTTCTTTTATAACTCTGACATATACATATTTAAATACTACAGTAGTAAGTAATTACCTGTTATAACAGTTATTAGGGGATGAATTAAAACACTTTCTGGAGTAGGTCAAAATGTGTGGTATTCAAGAGGTTGAGGGTTTTGTTGTTGTGTTTCCAGTACAGGAAAATAGTTCCATCATCCTGTTAATGAATATTACTGACAAAAGAGCCAGAGGGATTCTGTGTGAATTTGTTCTTTGAGTGCCTGTGAGATCCTGAAGTATTTTAACATAATGCCTGATCCATGAGAATTAACTTCAACTTTGAATGTACACTTAACACAGTCGATAACAAATGAAATTATTGATATCCACGTACATATCTGTCTTCCATATTTAAGATGTTGGCTTCTGCATTCTTAAAACATCTGTATGTTTTCTGTGGAAATCTAGAGGCCATGATTTAAAAAGTCATAGTAGCAAGGAAAACTGCACAATGCAGAAGTGGTATTATCCCCTTGTTATTTAGAAAGTGCTGAAAAATAACTTTAATTTCTCTAGACCAGGGGGTTCCCAACCTTTTTCGGTCCCCATATTCCCTTGGCTTTTAGTAACCCTTCCTGTACCCCCTATTCAATATGAAAGGAAATAAATTCTAGACTCTAGAATCCACAACTTTTTTCACTAACACTACTACTTTTGGAATATTTCAATTAGGATAATCTAGTTATTTACCAAATATTCCCCGTACCGCCTTGACAAGCTTCTCGTACCCCTTGGGGGTACGCGTACCCCAGGTTGGGAACCCCTGCTCTAGACTCTACTGTTTTTAAAGCTTTTTGTTCGCTAGGATGTCCATCAAGAATTTGGGTTCTGACCTTGTAAACACTTAGGGGCGTGCTTAATTTTATGCATGCAACTACTACCATCAGTTTGCAGGATTGGAGTTTTAGTAAATGTAGAGGGGGCAAAAAGTCATTTCTTTCAGTCTACACCTGGAAAGTTTTATTTTCACGCAGAAAAGTAAAACCTGGATAATGGGGGGGACTGAACTTAAGTTGTGTAAATTGGCAGTTACATTGACTGTTCTTTAGTGCAGTGACATGAATTTATACAAC